CATTATTCGACTTACGACATCCAATGTAGACCCAGCCTTATTGACTTTACTGGCGTGCGAAAAACGCAGCACCAGTAATTTTCATTGCTACCAACTATACTGTTTTCACTGGCAGTAACTAAATCCATTTTCGAACACATCCATTGTCAATGCCTACTGTTATCCCACCGCGGGCTCGCCCGATAATCCGCGGCGATTTACCTAGAGCCGGTGGGCCGTTCTCAACTGGTTCTCAACCGCACAGCTCGACGATAAATCCCGAGGGCCACACGAATTGGAGTCTGACACATTTGCGATACGCGTGTCGTGTCGCGGTCGCGTTGTGTAACCCGTTGTTCACCTACGCGCGCGGCCGAAGCGACACACGTACAAAACGGAGGCGCCCGTTTCTGACGGTTCTCGACTGTTCTTTTCAAAGTCCGTCGACCACGTCAGCTCGTCCACATGAACAAGTCCCTGCGGAACAGCTGACGACCCCCTCTCACCATGTACACGAGATAGTGATCGCCCTCGAGGATCGTCGTGGGAAGGAACAGGCGTTCCCCGCGCGACGGATCGCACAATAATCGTCTGACAGAGTCAATACGACCTCGCGGGCGCAACTTGGCGCGCGTAATCTACCGACTGTATTGTCGCGAGTCGTAAGAATTGCGAAAAATGTCGTTCAGGAAGGATCTGAAGTTGCTCGTCAAGCCGTACTATTTGATAAACATCTTCCTCAGCGTCTCCTACATCCTCTTCAAGCGCCTTCCCGTGGTCTGCAATTACATATTTTCTCAAGACGACTGCGAGTTCGATGGGGTGAGTGACCGCCGATCTTTACAGCGACGCCCGCGATCGTCCCGCGGGGCACCCACCCGGTTAACAAGCACATGTACTTTCAGAGAGAATCGGAGATCCTCTTCTTCCTCATAATCGTCATCATGATTAGGACGAGGAAGACCGGCAGCGTGACCATGATAAACTACCTGACGTCCAGCTTTGTGTACACCAAGGTGGCCAACTTGATCCTGTGGTTCTACGCGGACGTGCGGATGGGCATTCTATTTGCATTTATTTTTATACGTAAGGCCAGAGACTTCGGCCCGGTCTACGATGAGATGTCAGTCGGAACTGTATGTCGGTCCTTTTTCCTCCACCCAGAAAGGAAAAGGATCAGCGTACAGTTCAGACTTTTGACTAATGACTAACGACCAGAGCCAGTGCTAAGCTAAGCGGGGCCGGGTGCAAACGAAAAACGAATTCGGCTACTTGGTTAGCACGGGAGAGCGTGGACCGTTCAAACCACGGAGCCAATTAAACGGCGGGGGCCTTGCTAACGGCTCATTGTAGACCGGGCCTTCAGGAAACCCCCCCATCTTACGAATAGACCGTTGTGCGTCGCAAACGGATGTGCAGTCACTTTGCGTTTGCAGTGTGTGGGTTGGTGCTGCCAGAGCCGACGTATCAGGGGCCTGAGAACGTCGTCTATCTGCGCGGCGCCGACGGACTGCAGGAGGAGCTGCAGCGCGACACCAAAGTGGCCTGGCTGGTGGCGTTCTACACCGCGTGGAATCCAGCCTGCGTGACTTTCGCGCCGATATTCTCCGAGCTCTCCGCAGAGTAAGGCGTGATCTAATTGAATCGCAGTCTAATCTCTCCGAGCCGCACTCGGGGGAGAACGCGCTCTGTACATCTGTCATGATTGGAAACCGTTGATTTAGGTATGCGCTGGGGAACTTTAAGTTCGGTAAAGTGGACGTCGGAAGGTATCCGGACGCCGCGGCGAAGTATCACATCAGCGACGCTAGCACGAGCAAGCAGCTGCCGACGTTGATACTCTTCAAGAACGGCAAGGAGGTAGAGCGACGTCCATACGCGGATCACAAAGGGAAGCTTGTCAAGTTTCTCTTCTCGCTGGTGTGTCTCGTCACTTGAACTTGTTAAAATTTTAACTTGGACAATTCTCTCTTATTTATTCGCTAAATTTTCTTAGGACAACGTGAAGGCTGCGTTCGATCTCAACAATATATACAGCGACTGCAAGAAAAATCCTATCAAGAGAAAAGAGAAGAAATCGCTGAAGGCGGAATAATAGAGACACATTTAGGTGTTTAATGAAAAAGAGAAACACGCAGTTTGCAGCTGAGCGAGTTAGATGAACTTCTACGGTATAGATAGAACATCCAGATAGCGTGATGTCTCGACCGAGTTCTGATTCTAAATTAAAATATATAAGGATTCGTGTAAATACTTCGTTGTGCGTTGCAATAATCTATGCAGTGCTCTTATACTCTCTTCATTTACGTTCAAACATCTGTATATAACATATTGCCACGGATCGTTACAGCAATATTGCGCATGGTGTGTGAATGTGCCATATATAATATATATATAATATATATAACATATTAACATAAAGTTCAAATATGTACAGAAAGCTTGTTACGCGATTAACAACGTTGCATTTCCTTTTAAGATAGTCTCGATATAGCTGTTGAATAAAAGCTGATCGTTGGCACGTACGCTGTTTTCTATTTTACTCTTTTATAATCGGGACTCACGGTATTTGCGATCCTTTGCACTTGACGTATCACACAATCTTTGTAACAAGGAAAAAGGAAATACTCTTTATAACGAGGACTCGTAACATCCTCGACCCTTAGGCCGGTATTCATAGTCGGATCTTGTATTCAAGACCGTCTTAAGATCATCTTTAAATACTCCGTAGCCAATAAAATGTTTCATACAGCATCTTTAGGTAAATTCAAGACTGTCTCGAATATAAGATCAGACCGTGGCCGGTATTCATAGTCGATTCTTATTTCAATATCATCCTAAGTGTTGTCTTAAGAGGCTAATACGGCTCTGTGATTGGTTAAAAACACATTAAGAGTATATTTATGATCTTAAATATAAGAACGGACTATGAATACCGGTTTTAAATCCCGTTTCATTCGATTTCAAATTTAATTTCAGTGGGTGGATCGATGAAGGCGTTACAGTTCCGCGGGGACTTCCGGGATTATACGAAATTTTCGCATATCGCGGACATGCGACTATACAGTGAACATCTTTTTGTCTTCATTGCACAGATAATGAAGATAGAGCGACGCATCTACGGTGTACACCATAGGCTTGTTTCCTGTTGCTACACTGGTGAACTATTGCAATAAGTTAGAATAAAACCAGTATATTTTTTCCAGTGAACTATACATGTATTCACTGATTTTCTCTCATTATAGCTTACTGCACTAGTTCACCAGTGCAGGAAGACACCAAATTTTCTGCACTCAGGCTGTGGTCCAATTGACTTATTCTCTTTTATCTCCCTTGATCCGGTAACTGGACCGAGGCAGCTATGACTAACCAATAGTCTGTATGTCCAGTTGTCCAGGTCCAGTTGAGTTGAATGCTTCGAAGCGTTTTCTCCCCCTTCTTTCTTTATTACAAGGTAAGAAAAGAATAACGTATAGTATACGTGAAGACAGCACGGAGAAGAGTTTTCCACAGTCATTCTGCGACTTCCACGGACGAATTTTTATCTAATCGGCCCGAGCAGGAATGTTTTCTCACTGGACGGAGTATACAAATCAAGATACAAATCCCTAGTAGCACAGTGCCGATCGGCCGATCCCAGCGAGAAATGACTCGTCGATTGATGTCGAAACGATGCCGAATCGATATCGACATCGACATCTTCAAATTGATGCTGATTCGACATCGTCTCAACGAATCATTTCTCACTGGGCTATTGTCCAATGTAAAGCCAATGTTGGCCATGCAATAAACTATTGCACGATAATAAAGATATAACATTAGATTTATATCGGAAGTGCGTTGGCCGATACTTAGCAATTTAATAAGAATATTGGTTTAATTCATACAATATTAAACTAATATTGCTAAATAGACATATTAGCTAAATAAGAGGAGGCGCCCATCTTACAATATTGAAGCAATATTTGGAATACTAGATTTACATTATTTCCCAATATTGCGCTATTAGGGAATGCGTCGAAGCATTTTTCTTCTCTGACCTTTATTGAAAGGAAAATACAAGTGGACCGCGCTCAAAATGACATTGATATATGACTACGGTGGTGAAGGAAAATAAATAAACAGAAAATGGAGTAGGGGGTAGTTTTGAAGAAATGTTCCAACTCTTGGTTTTAGCAAGCAACATCAAGGGCTACGTGGCACGAGTATCGTGCGTCAGTATCGTTTTTGGTTCCAACACAGGAGGGAACCTAGATTTTAGAATATCGAAAATTGCCTTTGCTCGATCGTAGATGTACGTACTTCGATAAACAGTACTTGTCGGTGTTAGCCTTGCCAGTTAATTGACTAAATTCATTACGATTCTTTCGATAGATACGAAACATGTGTCGCAAGCAGTCTTCAGACAAGGTGACTGTCTACTCGGATAATGAGCAGATTGTGGACGAGAGCAGTTCGGACGACTCGCTTTCCAATAACGAGCTCGTCCCTGAGGAAAGTGTGGTGGATGATGCTACGTGCGTCTTTCGCTACGAGTACGGTAAGAAACCCACCTTAATTCCGCGCGAAACCGATTAACCGAGGGGGAAACCGCTGAGGGCATTGTGGTGTACAGATTTGCGACACTACTGGGCATTATAAAGATATAATAAGATAACATAATATAAAATAAAATAAATAAGATAAAATAAGATAAGAAGATAAAGTAATGCCCACTGGGCATTAGTGGGCATTGGTGTACAGAATTTTGGTCGGCGGTTTCCCCCTCGCGATTAACGCACGCGAGACGTTGACTCATCTTTCAAACTGATCACAGGTCTTGAAGTCAGAGTGGATTCCGGCTCGTTAAGTAAGAATGGTGAACTGGCGGTAACAATAGACCTGAACGACCGGATATACGTCTGGAACACTGATACGGGCGACAGTATTTTCTATATCGATATGCCTTTTGCTACCAGAGTTGTTGGTTTTAACTACAACGATGAGTATGTCGCTGCAGGCACTGAGTATGGCAAAATACAATTATGGAAGATAAGCGACAAGACCTGCGTCTGGGAAACTACTTTGGAGAATGACATTATCGTGAGCGTTTCCTTACACAGCATTTACTAAATTTGTTCTTTATAGTTGTATATACACTTTGCACACTTAAAACAAAACAGCTATTTAATTAGATATTATAGAAGAAAAAGAGGAAAGATGAAAAGTATAAAACCATTGCTGTGAAGAACAGTTGCTCCTTTAAATCATAATTGTCTATAGCTCTTTATTAATAATTTTTTGTTTATTATTCAGTCGATGAAGTGGCACCATTCCGCTAATATTTTAATAGTAACTGTCAAGACGTGGGATGTTTATATGTTAAAACCACAAAAGAACGACATTAAAGTTCTTGTACAGTATACTGGAGATCAAATATGGACCGGTACAATTTTTCCAGATGGTATGATAACGTTCGCATTCATTCGCTCGTGCCCGTGAATTACTAGAACCATGACGTAACGTGAAACGTTGCATGTAATGACGGTTGAATGCAACAAGAACTGAACTCGCACCGATTTTTGGGACAAATTGTTCATTGATTTTTGCTTCATTTAACCGCTATATATTACACGCAATTTCCACCTCCGATTAATTTAATCTGCTGATTACGTGTCAACCGCAATTGGGTAATTCTGGTCGATTTTGCTTATGATAAATGCGATTGGTCAATTCTAATGGAGCGCCGAAATTTAATCGGTTAGCTAAATTTCTCAGAGACAGTGAAACCGGTCCAATGTTTTATAGTCGGGTGGCCATATTGTTGTTGTAGGAGCAAAGAACGTGTACGCCATTAATTGGAGTACACGTGGAATTTCACCTTATACTCTTACATCATGACTGATACTTGCAATATACTCCTAAATTTAAGAAAACAGAACGATCTGTATCTTATCTGAATCTTTTAGGGGAACGTATGGCGATAGGATATGAAAGTGGCAAGATAGAAGTAATAGACTTAGAGACGAGCGCCGTATTGTCTACCACTCCTGCTGACCCGACAAGGTTGTGTGGACATGCAAGTGGTGTCGTCGGTCTTGACTGTCACATGGATAATAATCTGATAATTTCTGTATCACTGGAAAACCAGATTATATTAAGCACAGCACATGACGGCAAGGTACAGAAAACTTAAGAAAACTTTCTTTACTACGTCGCTTAAAGTAATGCCATAGTGTCATTGTATCTATATTTTCCCCTATATTTTTTTCTTACTTGAAGAAAGGTGATTTCTAACATAATTGTATCGGTTTTTCGTGTTGTCTATATAAAGGTTGAAGTAGTGCTCAATTATTCAAGATTATTGCAAATCACCAATTTCTAATTTAAAGCGATGATGTAACACAAATTCTTGACCTTTCAAAGGCTCCTTTTTAATCTTCTAAGGTTTTAATCTTTTTAGGTGAGACTGTCACTATCTTGAAATTTTGTGATATATAAAATCCATATATTCAGCCCGTTTTGTATCCCAAATTGGATATCATGTACATTATGGAATTTGCAAGAAGCTATATAGTATCCCGACTTGTTGCTTAAGTGTTCAAGATTTAAAGATATATTGAGTATAGCGTTATTTAGAATGTAGCGAAAACTAGAATCATTGCTCGAAGGTTTGGCAAGAAAAGGGACAAGCCACAGGAACAAATTTACTCTCGTAAATTTTACTCGCTCCACCTACCCTTTTATCGCTGTTTTATTACTGAATTAATATATCCTGACAAAGCATTCTCATCAAGTACAAATATTAAGTACAATATTAAAAATAACACCTAATACTGAAATACCTTTCAGGTAGTTTGTGTACTTCAGGATGTGGGTATGTCTAGTGGCGACCAAGTAGGGACTGTAGCTTTATGTAAAGATCCTACATTCCCTGTAGCTGCATCACTAATGTTTGTAAACGGTCACGAAGGAGTAACAGGAAAAATTTACATATGGGATATTTCTAAACAGGTATCTTGCTTTATACTTACTTGTATATCTAAAGTTTTTCTTCGAATATAAAAGACAAGCTGTTTTAAATTACAATTCTCTTTAGACTCTTATGCATGAGATAAACCAGGATGAGGTTATCTTGGACTTGGTTTGGACCAAGACATCAATATTCTTCACAATAGGGATCAGTATTAAAGTAAAATGTTTTGATGCTAGAACAGGCTGTTGCCTCCGGACGTTTTCAGGACATAGAGCGGACACACTCGATGCACATCTATGCGTATCCAGGTAAACCATTAACAAGTAAATTTGTGTACTAGATAATTGTTAATTGGAAGAAAAAGAAAATAGAACTGTTATCGAAAAGATTCTGAACAGGTTAATTTCAATAAAAATTAGTTTTGATTTTTTTGTCATAAATCATAAAAAAGATTATATTTGGATCAACTAAATGGTAACAAACCATATCTTTCTCACTTACATTCGGATAACTATTGTAATGTATGTCGAAGAATTACACCCAATCATAAATTTCAATAATAATTTCAATAATTTCGAATATTTTACACTTTTGAACGACTAAATGTTCTAATCTTCGATGACACATTTTAACAATCTGACGTTGTTGTTTACGTAATACTGAATTTTTGTTTATGAAATACACATTTTCTATGGTATTTACTAATATATTTTATAATTTTTTAGTGACGGGAAGAAAGCTTTAACCATTGCCACTGATAATACTGCCAGGATCTTTGACATCTCGTCTGTGTGTTGATGTAACGCAAAAGTTAGAGAATTACAATACTAAAGAATTAATATATAATATATAATAAAATATATAATAAAGAATTAATATATAATATATAATAAACATACATACATTTGCAAAAGTGATTTATAAAATATACATATACCTCTATTTGATAAAACTATAGAAAAGAAGAACATGTACATATATTGTAAATTTACAATATATATACATATTGTGCATAGGATGATACACGTTAAGTTAATCGCAAATGGTTAATGTAGATCTATTTAGCAAGCATTGCCCGTAAATGATATTCAAATTTTACTTTAGCGAGTGGGTTTATCGCGAGGGCGTTCAAGTTCCGCGTGAATTCCGGGATAATATGAAACTTCCGCATATCGCGGACCTGCGTCTATACGTAGTTAACATTTCTTTGTCTTTGTTGCAAAGATATAACAAGTTTCAATTAAATTGAATGCTTCGAAGCGCTTTCTCCCCCTTCTTTCTTTATGACAAGCTAAGGAAAGAATTAAAACTCAATCGGTGGATTATCACTGAAAACAGTGAATCGATTCATTATTTTCAGTAATAATCCACCGATTAACTTTCAGAGAGTGTTAGGCCTGGTTTATCATTTTCTGGTTAACTGTTAATATGGAAGTTCCTCGATTCTCTATCCTTTTCTATATTATTATCTAAGAAAGGACAGAGACTCGATTAAACTGTGATCAACAGTTTATTAGAAAATGAAAAATCGGGCCTAAATAGTGCAATGGGTACCTTTGGTTGTCCCGTCTTTAGAGTATGTACTCTCTAAAATCAATCAATGGATTGTCACTGAAAACGGTGAATATTCACTGATTCAGTGATAATGCACTGACTGATTTTTAGAGAGTAACTCTTTGGGGTATTTGAGCCCTTCCACCACGACAAGGTAGTACCCGAGGAGGGGATTAATCGACAAAAAACCGTGCAATTACATATGTGTACATTTAGAAAAATGAATATTGTGTGAACATAAATTAGTATAATTAGCACTATGCTCCCGGACGAGTTCTATCGATTTCTCTTAAGACTGGAAGCGTTAGAGTCATTATTGACAATCATCAAGTAAAACGCCGGCGCGGCCGCTCTCAGGTTTCTTCTCTGATGCCCGTTGTCATTCTATTTTATTTGATTCCAAATTTAACTTTGGCGGGTGTCCTCATCGAGAGGGCGTTAGAGTACCGCGTGAACTTCCACATATCGCGGAGAGCAGTACCGATATTCGTAGCCGTTCTTATTTTAAGTTTACTAAAGTAATGTCTGAAAACACTAGTGCGGCTCTGTGATTGGTTTACAACTCATTAAGAGTGATCTTAGATATAAAAATGATCTATGAATGCCGGTCCGTGGAGTCCGTTTCGCCAGAAATTGCTTTTCTTGCGGCTGCACTTTCTGCACTTAAAATGACACGAACGTATAACTGTGGCGTTGGCGTGAGAAAGAGGAAGGACGACAAGAGCGGAGGGTTCAGCCACGAACACTGCGATCTTGTTGGTGTTTGTATGCGTCCAAATGCATCCTAACATCGAGGACCACGTGTCGAGAACACGTGCATCAGTATCATCAACGTTTCCCTACTAGGAGGAGGAAATCTAGGCAACCAAAGACTGTCTTCGCTCGGTCGCGGACGTGTTTACTCCAAGAATGGTATTTATCGGTGGTAAGCTCTACCAATAGTTAGATTGATCGTGATTCTTTCGACAGATGCAAGACAGGTGTCCGCCGCCGTCTCCGCCCGAGGTCAAGGATCTCGACTCGGACGTCGAGATTATGGAGAGCGACGTCGAGGAGGTTATTGATATGGACGACTCGATTTTCGAGAGCTCGTCCGAGAATGAGGACACGCCGACCGAGGATCACAGGCAAAAGGACGACGCCGCGTGTGTCTTTCGCGGCCACGTGATCGGTAAAGAAGCCGCGATCTTGATCCCCGCGCGAGACCTGTCAGCCGATACGCCAGACATTGACTCACCCTTTAAACTGATCTCAGGGTTCACGGTGTTTTGCTGTTCGCTGAGCAAGAGCGGCGAGCTGGCGGCGACTGGGGACGAGAACGACAGGGCGTACCTCTGGAACACTCATACGGGCGAGAGTATTTTCAATACCGGCACCAGTCATGACGACAGCATCGTATTCGCTGAATTTAACCACAGCGACAAGTACTTGGCTACGGCCGACATGCGCGGCAAGATACAATTGTGGAAAATAAAAGACAAGACCTGCGTCTGGGAGACTAGTTTGGGGACCGACATTAGTGTGAGCGTTTTCTTAATTAGCAATTATTCAAATCGCTTCTTATAGTTGAAATAAAATAGCTATTTAACTAGACGTCATAGGACAGAAATAGAAGACTTTGTTGGCAAGAACAAATCTGTTGATCCTACAAACCACATTCGTCTACGGAAGTTCGTTAATAATTGTTCTTTATTGTCTAGTGGATGAAGTGGCACCATTCCGCTAATATTTTAATAGCAGGCATTGTCTCGGGGGAGGTTTACATGTTTAAGACACAAAAGGACAACTTCAAAATCTTCGCCCAGGGTATCGGTGATAAAACAGAGACCGGGATAATTTTTCCAGATGGTACTATAATAAACTCTTAGATTTAATAATATACTCTTATTTTCGAAAGGGCAGAATGATCAGAATCTACTCTGAATTTTTCAGGGAAACATATGGCGGTAGGATATGAAAGCGGCAAGATACAAGTATTAAACTTGCAGTCTAACGCCGTAGTGTCTACCACTCCTGCTGACCAGACACGATCACGTGGACATGCAAGCGGTGTCATCGGTCTTGACTGTCACATGGATAATAATTTGATAATTTCGATATCGTTGCAAGCCCAAACTATATTAAGTACAGCACATAACGGCAAGGTACAGGAAACTTCTTTAAATTTTCTTCAATATGTAGTTTAAACCAATGCCATATTGTATCTATATATTTCTCCCGTACTTGAAGAGAAGTGATCTCTAACATAATTGCACACGGGCTTTTCGAGTTGTCTATATAAAGATTGAAGTAGTGCTTAATTATTCGAGATTGTAGTTAGTCACTAATTTTTAATTCAAACCGATATTCAACCGATTTCAACCGAGTGCAACAGTCCAAATTCTCCTTTTCACGGCATCTAGCTATATTTCGATTTGTGGTTCAAGTGTTAAGGATTTAAAGATAGATCAAGTTTAGCATTATTTGAAACATAGTGTATTCTCCAACCATACTTGAGCCGCACTGATCACGTGCACGTGGAGAGATTAGTTTTGTTATTAATTTTACACCTTGTCTAAAACACCTACGTGGTCTATCAATTTTGGTCCGGGCGCATCACGTAGTTACCGGGAAGGAATGTGTATTCGCGGCGGATCGGGCAAGTTTTCACATAACACAGTCCTCTCGCGACGATTAATTCGGTAGTTCGTCTTGATTCATTTGAAACTCTCCCGCTTAACGACCGAACCTTGTAACAAGGATATATTCTGACAGAGCATTTTCACAAAGTACAAATATTAAGAGTAACGCGTAACATTGAAATACTTTTCAGGTAGTTTGTATACTTCAGGATTTGAGTAGAACTGAAAGTGATGGAGACATTAACGTGGAGACCGTGGCTTTCTGTAAAGATCCCGCATTCTCTGCTGCTGCAACCGGTGCAATCAACAGCAACCTAGGAGGAAAACTTTACATTTGGGATATTTCTAAACAAGTATGCTTTATATTTGTGTATCTAAAGTTTATCTTCGAATGCAAATGACAAGCTGTTTTATCGCAATCCTCTTTAGACTCTCAGGCACGAGATAGACCAGGAAGGTGGTATCGTAAAATTGGTTTGGACCCAGACATCGATGTTGTTAACGGCAGCATTAGATGGTAAACTAAGATGTTTCGATGCTAAAGCAGGCTATTGCCTCCGGACGTTTTCAGGACATAACGCGGCCTTATACGACTTATGCATATCCAGGTAAACTATTGGCGGACAAATTTGTGTACTGATTAGTTGCGAAAGGAACAGAAAATGGAATTGTTATCGAACAGATTCGGAACGGGTTAATTTCGACGTGTTAGTTTTGCTTATACTCGCGCCAAATAGCTGCTAACGAACAGTATCTTTTTCACTGAAATTTGGATAACTATATAATAAATTTCATAATCGATTCTTTTGCACTGCAACATTTTTGAGCGTTCAAGTGTTCTCGGGGTCAATTCTGTATTTTGCAATATAGTGAAAATGCTACAAGTGAGCGACTTTGTCGCTTTCTAAGGAGACTGTTACAAAGAGACACAGCTATTCACTTTTAGCACAAGATACAGAATTGACCCCCTGATCTTTGATGACATTTTTGGGATATGGCGGGGTCTCGCTTGCAAAATACCGAAATTCTGTTTAATACATATTTTACATATACTTAACGATGTTTTATTATTTTCCAGTGACGGGAAGAAAGCGTTGACCACTTCCGACGATAGTACCGCCAGGATCTTTGACATCTCAGCTGTATGTTAACTTAATGCGAAACATAGAATTTAACAAAATTGAAGAATATATATATGTATATAAGTGTATACATATATTTTTAAAAGATTTATAAAATATATATCTCTGTACCATAAGACTACAGAAAAGAATATATTGAAATTAAGTAATATGTTCGTGCTCAGTTCGCCAGAAAATCTCTTTTCCTACAGTTATACAATCGGATTGTAAATTATTTACAAAGTTTCCGTTACTTTCGAGCATCCCAGTCATGATAGCTTGTCTCTGTACCATTCCATATCGAGCTGGTGCCGCTTGTCTCTCCAGACAAACTTCGTCGGCGCATTCCCCTCGCCGTTCTCGAAGTTGAACAGAGCGCTGAATTCGATCGCCAGATTGGATCTCACCAAGCCGATCCCACCCGCTTTCTTCGGCGCGGGATGATACACTCTTCCCGTCTTAACGTTCATAAACAATCTTTGCGGCTCAAATGGCACCTGCGGCAAAGGCAGTGATAAAGCTCTGTTGAAATTGCAATTTTACTTCATGCAGCTGCATCTACGACAGCGTCTACCATTAACAAGTCGTCCGCGTGCGCGTAACTGAACCAGTCCTCGTCCGCGCCGGTCTCCGCGTTGCGTTTCTGGATCACCTTCGTGAAGACCAACGGCAGGTCGTCGCATCGCACGAAATTCCTCTCCAGGCCGCAGATCGACAAGAACGGAAAGTCCTGCGTGTAACGTCCGGTGTTGTTTCTACCCAGGCGTTTGAAGAAGAATGCCAGGAACTTCTTGTCTGCGACCAAATTAACGGCGCGTATCAAACAAGCGGTTTTTACAGCGTGTGCGCAAATGTTGCGTACCTTTGAAGCAAGAGGTGAAGTTTCTTATGCGGACGTCATCCAGGAACAGCTGCGACAGAGACAAGGTTACTCGTGAGCCGTTGCTCGTTTGTCAACGACGGACTGCGGGGCTTAGTCAGCGGACAGGACGAAAAATACCATGCCTTGATGATCGATGTAGTAGAAGTACTCTCGCACGCGGGGCTGAGGGGACTGGCCCTGGACGTACGTCGCGTAGCTTCCCTTGGCCACCCTAGGCGAAGGGAGCCTCCGGCCTGCGGCAAGGCCGGCACGCATGCACAATATCGGCGTCATTTCGGTATAGAAATGAATTCAACGATCGCGATATAACCTCCGGGGACTTTGGACTCTTAAAGCGGACCCGTCCAAGTGTCTAAACGAATCGTGTGACTGCAATTAGAAGACGTCGTCGACGACACGTTCGAAAGCGGACGACTCATAAATCATTACCTGAAGCTGCTATTTATCACAGTTTGGTATCGCGACTACGTCGCGCTGAAATCCATCGATTGGCAAGCTATCTCTTTCATACGTCGATGCAACGTGTGCACGAGATGTGCACAAGAATCCAGATCTCTCTCGTCAGTCGCAGTTCCGACGTAATTTTGCTCAATTACGCAAATTCGCTTTCGTCATTCATTTCACCTCTTTTTTTTGGCGCCTGACCATTCATTTCACGCACGCGTTATATTTTTCATGAAAAGTGCAACACGGTGCAGCCGCCGCCGAGAGCGATCAGCTGATATCTGCAGCGCAGCATAGGCGTAGGTTAAAATACGCTCCGTTTCGCTTCATCTTCCTTTAACCTCGGGTAAATAACAAGGATAAATGGTCTACAATACATGGAGTAAGCTGGAGTAAGCTGGAGTGCCATGATTGATGGCATTTTGATTCACCGAGAGTAAGCCTAAGAGCTAAAGTAGGAGTAAGAAATAAAATGGATTTATTTCCTTACTCCTACTCCTTACTCCAGCTTACTCCATGTATTGTAGACCAGCCTTCATGTGCGCCATACGTGAAACAGCACGCTCGTAGGTGTTTTCGATTCTTGCAGCGGTTGCGGCCGCGAAAAGATTGAGGAAAAAAATTCCACTCGGCCGATAACGTCGGGCCTCCGCGTTACCGGGCGAGCGCGCGCGCGCGGCTACCGCCACCTGACGGGGAGACGCGGCGTCGCCGGGCGACCCTGCGCGCGCGCGCGTATAGAGCGAGAGAGACGGACGGATAGTGACAGGTCCGCGAGATGAGATACCGGACGGCGGCGCGGAGGAGGAGGAGGTGGCACTGGCAGTTTCCCGAGTGAGAGAGAGGCGGTCGTTTTCTGCGCGCTCTCGCGACCGCCGCGCGTCGCGCTCCTTTTTCACACGTCCTCCTCCCCGGGGGGGAAGCGGCGACGCGACGCGACGCGACACGACGGGACGCGACGTGACACGACGCCACGCGCCGCGCCGCGCTGCCCGGTAACACGGCAAGAAGGAGGACGAGCGCAGGCCCGCGAGAAGAGGAGGCGGTTGCTGTTGCTGCTGCTGCTGCTGCTGCCGCTGGTAAACATGTTACGTTCGCGCAGCGGCGGCAGCGAGAGGAGAACGTACGTCGTGCGCCAACCGAGACCACGGACCGCCGTCGCTGCCAAATAAGTCCGCGCGCGCGGCGCGAACATGGCCTCGTCTACGAGGAGGTCCTGGAAGCTCCGTAAGATCGTCGTTCACGGGAAAAAACGAGTGTCCTGGCGCGCGCGAGCGCTCTCTCGCGCGCGCTCTCTTTCTTTCTCCCCTCTCTGAATCGCTATATAGCTCTCTCGCTCTCCCTCTCTGTTCCCTCCTCCACGACGTGAATCCTGCGTTTCCGCGAGGTCCCCCGCGGGTAAACACTCACTGTTTACTCGCCCGCTTGGCTGCTACCTCGCGGTTTCTTCCAATTATGGTTACATCTGGCTCAGCCGGGAATTTGTCCCGCGGCGAGAATGAGAAGTCGCGTCTCCCACGGTGGCGGGAGTTGGATTGTAGCGGACGGAGAGGGCTCCTACCTCTGGCTTTGCGAATGAATATTTTATATATTTCTCGTGGGAGAATGGCGATTCTATTTTTTTTCTCTCTCTATTTTCAAATAATGCAGGGGAGTGCGCCGAGGCTTGTTGATGAAAATGAGCTAAAGGCCTCTCTTGGATTCTGCAATCGGAATGAATGTTTCTCCCATTTGTGCAGTCTGTCCCAAATTAATATTCTTCAATGTGATCGTAACTTATTGACGATTTGTAGTGTTTAGTCCGAGAAAGGTACTTTTTGGGAGGCTGGAGGTGAAATTGTTAAACCGAGGAGAGAGAATTTTCATAACCGTAGTTTTACGAGTTTTAAATGAGTCCTTCAGAAGCCAAACTAACTAATCGAGTCCACTAAATCGGGGGCGAAGAGGCTCGATGAGAAAGCACAAGTTGCTCCGATAATTTGAGAGATTTACAAGAGGTGAAGTTTGACTTCCGAAAGACTCGGATAATTCTTGTCTCTTCTAAATTGTGTAACATCCTCGTGTTCGCGAATAATTGAGCATTGAGGAAGACGATCTATTTATTTGTGTTAACGTAGTGTGAAGGGTGCGACACGAGAGATGACGTCTCTTAGTCGCATCTCTTTCATCGCGTCGACACGGAGCTAAACCGGCGCCGCGTATGAAATGGACGTGAAATGTACGCTCTTCTTTTTCTGGCGCAGAGGAATTCGTCGCTCACACGCCGAATGCCAATTGCCTGGCGTTGGGCCACAAGTCGGGTCGTGTTCTGGTCACAGGCGGTGACGACAAAAAGGTGAACCTATGGGCCGTCGGGAAGCAGAATTGTATTATGGTAATTGTTGCGCAATCACACTTTTCGCAATTCGATTCGGTATTAAATGGATAATTTGAAAACAAAGATTACAACAAATCTTTGTCTTCGTACAAGTTGAGTGAAATCCCAGGGAAAGCGAAAAGTCGAGATCATGTCAATTTCATGTCGTATTGACCGAATTTCTGTCATATCTTGGTCAATGTGACATCAAATTGACGTCACCTTGACTCTTCATTTCTCCTCGGGACGTTAACTTTAAGAGGAAGCTCTGGCCGCGAGGTCGCATTGTTGAAATTATCGCAAGACTCATGCCCTCGCGTTTCTTTTCAGAGCCTGAGCGGCCACACCACTCCGATAGAATGCGTGCGCTTCGGCCAAACGGAAGACCTCGTGTGCGCCGGCTCACAGACGGGCGCGCTCAAGATCTGGGACCTGGAGCACGCCAAGCTGGCGCGGACGCTGACGGGACACAAGTCCGGGATACGTTGCATGGACTTCCATCCTTACGGGGAGCTGCTCGCGTCTGGCAGTCTGGACACGGCGATTAAATTGTGGGATATCCGTAGGAAGGGCTGCATTTTTACGTACAAGGGCCACAACAGGACTGTCAACAGTTTGAAGTTCAGCCCCGACGGGCAGTGGATCGCCAGCGCCGGGGAGGAAGGAATGGTCAAGGTGCGTCAGACTCTTTCCTGGAAGCGTCGAGACGAAGGCGTACTTTTATCGCGTCTTATCTTTACCGCCGAGTCACCTTATCGTCTTGCACATAGCACAATTTTCGTTCACCGTATGCTACTGTTTACGCGCGAGACAAGAGAAGAGACATTGACCTTTATGTTATTTTCAAATTAGCTGTGGGACCTAAAGGCCGGTAGACAACTAAGGGAATTTTCAGAACACAGAGGGCCGGCTACGACTGTCGAGTTCCATCCGCACGAATTCCTATTAGCCAGTGGTAGCGCCGACAGAACGGTCCACTTCTGGGACTTGGAGTCGTTTCAGCTCGTATCTTCCACGGAACAGAGTCATTCTTCGGCCATCCGGTGAGCTGGAGCGGCGATAATCCTCCAACGTGTATCGCCCGACCACCACGCTAATGTTTTTCTCGTTATCTCGTCTCAGGTGCCTGTACTTTAGTCAAGGCGGAGAATGCCTGTTCGCCGGTAGCCACGACGTCTTAAAGGTTTACGGCTGGGAGCCGGGTAGAACCCTGGATACGATACCGACCGGCTGGGGAAAAGTTCAGGACATAGCCGTAGCTCAAAATCAACTGGTAGGCGAAAACGCTAGATTCTCGAACGTGTCCGTTCGGCGTTGTTTTCGCTAAGACGAGAAATTGTTTCAGATCGGCGCGAGTCTTCATACCGCGAGCGTCGTTCTGTACGTGTGCGATTTGAAAAAGATCGCGCCCCTGGGAGGAATATCCGCCGTGAGCTCGCCGTTCAGTCATGGAAATTCCCTGAGGAAGAGCTTCTCCAGGGAACGACCTATCGGGTTGAAGAAACATACGTAGGTTTTTTCCCCTACGAAGTTGATTGAATTTTAACGCCGGAGGGTCAATTGTGTATCTTAAAATATAGTGAACGCGTTAAAAGTGAGTGGCTTTGTCTCTTTTTCTAATTGTCTCCTTAGAAAGAGACAAAACCGCTCACTTTTAGCACTGCGTTGTAAGATACAGACTCGAACCCCTGATTTTTAACCTTGGTCGAGCGCCGTAACACGCGTTTGTACGCATTATTTGCAGACTGGACGTACGCACGATAGAAGAGGCGGACAAGTCTGGCACCGATCCGGAAGACGAGGCCACCTACGCGGATATACCCAACGTAACCGACTACAGGGACATTTTTCAACCGAGTAGGGCGTGTAAGTGATTCGCTATATCCGCCTGGTAATGTCTCATTGTTCACCGAGTGCGTGTGTGCGCGACAAAAATTCCAGTCTAACATCTAATCAATCCCTCGCGATCACCAACGTACGCACACGCGACATGTCGAACACGTCTAAATGTGAATGCGAACGCTGTATGGTTTGTGAATGAGCATGCCGCGCATGATATGTTGCAGTGTCTCGCACACCACCACCTCCCGAATCTTTCGAGGCTTTCCAGGAGCCTCACGACATAGGTGAGTTTCAGTAACCTCTGCACGGATTGTGTCTTTACTAAACTGTAATATAAGTTGAATGATATGTAGATAAGTCTTTCTTATGTATTTAAACGAGGAAAATCTTGTCTTGGATCTTTGTTCGCATTATTCGACACTCTGGCTATAATTTTATTAGAGAAAACTTGCTGCGAAAACTATTACGGTTTTCTCTTATTTACTTATTCACTGACGAAGAGAACATTATTCATGTTACATTTTTGTCCCTTGAACTGATTATTGTTACTTCGTTTCTAAGGGATTCTTAAGTTTCCTTACTTGATAATTTCTTAGAAAGAAAAGAGAGGATGAGTATCGTTGATACAGTCAATCTATTGTAGATCCGGCGCAGCCGCAGATACTGCAAAATCTTTCTACCTCAATGTCGAACCTGAGCACGATGGAGCGCGAGGAGGTGCCGTCGGTGACGTCCCCCTCTTCGCCGTCCCCGCCGGCGCCCACGTTATCCCTGACGAAGCCGATGCCGGTGCGTGTTCAGCCGATCAAGTCCTCGCCGCCGGTGCAGAGGAACTCGTTCACGTCGACGAGCCAGATCAGAGCGAATCTGCAGGCGAACAACGGTCTGAACCAACGAGCGTCCAAGAACTTCGCGTCGATACCGCCGTTGCGGCAGAGCATCACGCCGTTTCCGGGGAAAAGAGCGGTCGCAAACGAACAAGCGGTGCCGCCGCATCCCTTAGGACCGCAAAGGTCGAACTCGACTCTGACGCCGCGCGTCGCGCCGATGGCCGCGGTAATTCCTGTGATGGACGACGGCAAGTTGAAGAACCGAGTACCCAGCCCAGATTCCCCGAAGCACTATCTGAAGAGGCAGAGCAGCAGGGACGGGGAACAAGGATACGAAAGCGACTATCCTGTACAGTAAGTACAGTACATCTACGGCGCGATAATGACAGTGGCATTTCTTCAAATGTAGAAATATGGGAAACGATTGTTGTAAATGTCGATAAACACAACAGAAAGATTTAGCAAGTCGTACGGAAATTAATAAAGAGCGTCTTTCTATCTCTTGACGCAATAATGTTTCTCTCAGATTGCAATCTTCGAGAAAAAATGGTTTTCTTTTTGCTAAAACATAATTTATAAAATATTTATAAAATTCGTTAAAATTGAAAGTTAATTATACTAGAAAAAACGTTGTATGGGTGGGATTCTCTGTTGCAGAATTAATAATATAAGACATAGTCCCTCGGATCCTGTGCTGAACAGGCCGAACACGGCGCAGTCGAGGTCGACGTCGCTCAACCGAAATTTTGCTACCTCAACCGCGCTGTCGGCGCGCAACGCCTCCACGACCACGTCATCGTCTACGAGGAAGCTACCAAATAAGGCTCAGATACCACCGAATCCCAAGGTCGATATACGCGTCTCGCAGATAAGGACCAACGTCGAAGAGGTGGAGAAGGAGGAATTGGTACCGATGAGCGCCGACAAGCCTTACGGCTTGGACGTGGAAAATTTCTTACCGGTAAGTAAACCGTCCACTTGAAAATTTGCGCGAATGGCAAAATCAATGGTGAACCCTTTACTTTATATTATAGAGTTAGAAAGTGCTTAATTCTTTTATTTATCGACGTAGAAAATTGCATGACGATCAATGGCTGGCAAATTCTAATTAAAGCAATTCGTTGCGAAAAATGTTACCTCAGCCAGGGTTTGAACCTGGACCTCCCTACACTCTAGGCGGGTGACGTGCCTCAGTGGTCGAATTGACGAGACGCCCGCCTAGACTGTAGGGAGGTCCAGGTTCAAGCCCTGGCTGAGGTAACATTTTTCGCAATGAATTTCTTTAATTAGAATTTGCCAGGCATTGGTCGTCGCGCAATTTTCTACATTTTTTCATTCAATTACTGGCGTTAAATAATTCTTCGCGTCTTTCGTTTATGTTCTGTAGCATAGTTACACCGGCCCTACGGCGCTGGGCTATCCTCAGATGGGCGTGCTGACGGAAATGTCGGAGGCCGAGGTGTTGAACAGCATGATGCGCAGCCACGATTCGATAATGGCGGTGCTCAAGAGCCGGCATCGCTCATTACAGATAATATATTCTCTCTGGCACAACAAGGATCTCAAGGTAAGTCGTCTACTTGACTCCGCGTAGAAACGTACGCGAGACTTATAAAGCAAGAAAAAACAAATGTAAATGCAATATTGATCTCAGGCCGCCGTGGAATCTGCAGTCGCGATGAACGACCTGGCGGTCATCGTGGATCTTCTGGGTATCCTCACGTTAAAACCGTACGTAGGCCTTGTCGTACCAGTGATTTCAATTAACGAGACGTGTACGTGGTTTTTGTTAACTGTCCCTTTTTGTTCCTGTCCGCAGAACGATGTGGAACTTGGACCTGTGCAATTCCTTATTGGGTCCCATCAGCGATCTCTTTCAGAGTAAATACGAGATGTAAGTATGACAAACAATTTTCTGCGCTTTACATTTTCCAATATTTTTTAAGACTCATACCGATATCCTCGAAAAATTTGTTATATATTTGTCCATCATATTCACCATATATTATAATAACCGCTGAAGGGACGCGATTATTTTGTAAATGACATATATCGTCGTCCTAAATGTAGCTTCGTTCCTTTTGTTGGAGCCACTTCTTTCGGATCGATTCGCTTCACAATTAGTGTCGCATTTGCATTCCCGTTCGGATTGCGACGCGCGTCCGCGTCTCATTGTCGCATTACGCGTGTATATTTAGAGATGACACGGTGAATATGCATCGCTCTTCGCGGCACGCTTTGCATCTATTATCGTCCGAGATTACTTCACCTTCAATGGCGAAATACCGCGCGCGCGGCATTTGTATTGGAAAATGGAGACACCCCTTTCGAAAGGGTCCCCCGCGCTCGAACGGGGGTGCCGCGAGGTACGGGGTCCGGCACTATGGGAATGGCTAATTTGCCGAAGCGGGGAAACTCGAGGCGAGCGCTGGGGCGGCGCGAAATTAGCCGAGACAATGGGAGATAGCGGCAGATGCAAATGCGACGAGGCGCGTGGATCCTCCCGTGCCGAGTTCGCATTGTTCGCGAGGCGAATTGAAATCTGAAGTGCCGCCGCGCTCGCATATGCCGGCGCGGCGCGATGACAGTGGACAGAGTGTCGTCTTCAACGCCAAACGGTCGTCGCCGATCAACATTTGTTGGGACGTGTCAAGGGAATGACACGTAACAAAATTCAGATGAGCAAATCTCGAGAAAGAAAGTTTTTACAGTGTGTACGAAAAATTGTAAGATAGCGAATTTAGAAAAGAGAGCCTCGATTCTAGAAAATGTCGAGAAGTCGAAATTCGTGGATTTAGGTTTCCAGGTCTGGGAGATTATTTGAACTGGAAAGATTAAAGCAGCTGAGTTGCTTTAATCTTTCCTTGCGACGATATGCGCGGTCTATTATTGAGTTTTATCGTAACTACGTTTAGCAGAGCCAGGTATTTCAGTCGCGGTGAAGTTTTAGATTGCCGTTACATCCCATAACTGCAAATTTAAACGGTTTCTCGTCAGATACGCGCCACTTCCTGACCGTTCGGCTATAAATCCGACTGAGGAGGGGGAGGGCTTGTCTTTTATGTCCGTTTGACGTACGAAAGCGGGCGATTAACCGACTGCCCTCAGTTCCAAGCTGTTGCCCCGTCGTGACGAGAAACGACTGTTTCCTTCCGCGTTTTTTATTATGGACTACCATTACTCACCCTCAGCCTTTATTCCTCGCGCACGTGTTGCCTCGCAAGAATCTGCCCTCTCATTATCAAGGTTTAACCCGACAATGATCTGTGATCATTCGTGTGGATTTTAAAAGCCTAATTATCGTTTCATTTTTTGTCAAAATGTTTTATGTACAGAGAGAGAGAGTTCGGTTCTTACTTATCTAATATCTGCTAAAATGTTAGGTTTATCTTGATCTGACTAGTTTTACATATTCATTAATTATGTATTTTTTAACATTTATTTTTGTGTTTTACTATCAACGCGCAGTAATATCTATCATAAATTTTTATTTTCTAATCAAATATAGCTACTCTATTATGCTACAATCAATTTTCTACACCTACAATCTCGGTCCGACCGCGAATTATTTTGATATTGATTTAACCGATTAATCAATCGTATCGAACAGCAAATCGGCCGTACAACTTCCGACAAACTTGTCCAAAGGGTCACTTGCCCTAAAATTAGGCTTCGAGCGCCAAATGCCCTAACGAGCTTCCCGTTTCTTTTCTTTCTATCTTGGAACTCTTTCTTGCCGTCTTCTGTCAAGCACTTATATATGTATTTGTTACAGCGCGGTAATTGTGCAGTGCGTGTGTAGTTTAATTTATCTCATCCTATCCGTGCATTACAAAATAGTAGCGATTTTGAATTGGGAAGTTTGTCCTTGCTAATTGACAAATTTAATCTAAATTTTTTTTTGCGAAAGCTTGAGAGAATTTAAAATCTGAGAGCTGGATAAAAAACGTTCTTATAATTTCTACTTTGCGTATACCTTGGGACTATTAAAAAACTTTCTTCGATAGTTTGGTTTTAGAAAGTACGCTGTTGTTTTAATTAACCACTCGTGCCGATTGCCTGGAGTAATTTCAGTGAACCCGGTTAATGGCAGTCGCGTATTAGCACTCCGCGCGTAAATATTTAATACCGTGAAAAGTGAATTCGAACTAATTATCTACCGCTCAGCAGCTGTCGTTCGCAGTCACTCGTAGCGAGGCCTGCGGGCCATTTGTACATGCCATTCTGCTTGGAAATTATATATAATTATAATAAATTTATGCAATATATTTATATCATTCTCAAGTCTATATGAAAACTGTTTGAACGTTAAAACATTTGGGGGGGGGGCTAGTTTTCCATATTCTGGTTATCGTGTAGGAACGATCGATTCTGAAAATCCTTATTTTTAGTAAGAACATTAACATAATTCTGAGACATCGAATATAGCTAGACGAAGACACCTCGGTATGTTTGTGCATTTAATTCGCGAGGTGTGATGACATTTTGCATTCCGATTTCGCAACGGGTCGCAAATATACACATCTCGGACAACTTATTATGTAAAGTGGCGGTTTGCATACAAGCCCGCTCGTCATTTTCACGGCTCGTTCGTTGCGGCCTTTCGTCCTGGACCCGGTGCCTCGTGAGAAAAAAAAAGGGATCGTCGGCCAGAATGTCTAGACGCGTGTCACGTGTCAGGGGAAGGGCTCGCGCCCCGCCCGATCGTTTTCCAATTTTGCGATCGCTTCTCGTACCCCTCTTTACCGCCTATCGCCGTCCCGATAGATCACCGCTGAGTCTCGAGAGAAAAATTCACGTTTCCTTGCTGTGAAACGTTGAAAATTATTTGGCAAAGTGCAGGAGGATTGAGCTCATGAAGAATAGAATTAGAAAAATTAATTTGTTCTAATTAATGTAGAGGAAAGTCCCCGATTATGAGATAGGCTACTTATATGGGACAGCAGGCTTTCAACATCCAAATTCAATCGCAAATCTCTTTTCGCAACTATTACACAATCTAAGAATTTGTTTTATTCAACAGAGCTATAAACTCATAATGGAATCAACAGATGATGCCTATCAATGTTAGTAGAAGCCTCGCTATCTCTTATTAAGATCCTATCTCATTATTTCCTCTATCGACGTTTATTACGCACATTAGACATGAGATAAGACTGATTGTGAGTAACAGAAAAAAAATGAATCTATGTTAATTGAACTTGCGAGGTTTAAGAGATTCTGCAATGAGACTCGTTTCTCTACTTCATTCTTCCGAGGAGGAAGAATTAAAATTATTTTTTTTTACTTTCAACGTCCATGGAAAGACGCCTATCCCGAAGCCTGTTCTCGTATCGATTCTGCCAGAAGTCGCATAAAATTCGAATCGCTGCGACTGGTGTACGGCGCGTTACACGGGGCATTGTTGGTCGGCGTCGCGCGCGTTGCATTCATGGGACCGTTCGCGATTCGTCTCGCCGATTCAAACGGGAGCTCGAACCCTTTATCGCCCGTCCGTCCGAAAGCGAGAGCGTGCTGAATCGCGCAGGCAAGCCTTCCGTGCCTTTCGTTATTTATTGGCGTCGTTAGCGGGCCTAATAATGCCCGTTTTACCGAACGAACCAGGCGTGACCAGACCAGTGTTGGGAGACGGGCTTCCATTCTCATTCCACGATTGTTTTTATCCTGAACGTTCGGGCCGCTCCTCGACAAACGAGTTGTAAATTACTTAATATAGAATCTCCTTCTCAATTTATTTACAACTCGTTTTAACGCCTTCAATGTACTTTGAATTTTAATATAAATATACAAGTTGTTCTATTTTAAATGATCCACGCAAATATCTTCAAAAATATGAAAGATACGGGAAAATATTGTAAATTCAGGCTGCATATGTAGTTTTAAGATTAGTCTGTACGATATGTATAATTTGTTATTAATTTCGGCAAAAATTGGGTATGCTTCAGGTACATAACGGTAGCTTGCTCGGCATTGAGACTTATCCTTCGTAATTTCGCCCCGGTGATAAAATCCAACGTGGAGGCACCCCTCCACACGATCGGCGTCGACGTGTCGCGAGAGGAACGGTGAGTCCGTATTAGACATAGAGATATTTTTGTCTCAATAACCTTGTCCCACTGATTTTATCAGCGACCCTCAATTGATAAATTGTCAATTTATCTAACTGATATACTTGGCATATTATAACGAACTTGATCATTCAAATCTCACGAATATCTCCCTAAATTAGAAATGGTAGAGTTAAAACCTAATATATTGCCTGATTTTATTTAAATCGGTAAGAATCTTGAACTAACAAGTTGTTCCCTCAGACGCATAACTTTAGAGTCAAGAATGTTATTCGCAAGAAAAAGATATGCTCAAGCATCGTATTAACAATGCTAGAAAAATAAGACGGTATTTTCTGGGTGTAACATCGTCGCACGTCTACGTAACAGCGCGGAAACTTCACGAGCCGTTTCTCTCCTTTTCTTTGCAGGTACCACAAGTGCCTTTCCTGCTACGAGAAGCTCACGGCGATACGGGCGATCCTGCTGAAGAAGCAATCGACGCCCGGCAAACTCGGCGCCTCGTTCCGCGAACTGGCGGTGCTCATCAGGAGCCTCGAGTGACCTCGAGAGCGGCGGCGTCGTCTGAGACCCTCGTGAATTCGACCGCCAGTGTCGTCGTCGGTCGACGACCATCGGTTTCCTCCCGATATTCGGCCCAGCAGCGGCGGAACGAAGGGCCGCGTTGCGGCCGTCAAATGGAAGCAAAAACCTCTGTCGAGGAGTAGCAACGGCATCACGGCGCACCGTTGAGGAAACGTCCGTGAAAACACGTGACTCGTGAAGTTTCCTGCTGCTCTGCCACTTTCTTCCATCGGTCGATCTGTTTGCCGATCGCCTTCTCCCTGCCGTTATCCCCGCAGTCGCGCACCGATTCTCGGAGAAAGCAAACGAAATTGCGAGACGTTCGTTATTTAGTTGCCGAACGATCGGACAAGTCATTATTGATGGCAAGAAAAAAAAAGAAAAGAGAGAGCCTCGGTCAGAACAAAGAAAGAAATCTAAAAGAAAAATTAGCAAACTTTTAAACGAGAGGCGGGTGAAAGCGAGGAAAGACACACGTTGTCGCCAAACATATCTAATATTATACTGAAACATCAGGATTAAATCAATTTTACCAGTTTAAAAAGAAAGCCGTTGTTCTTCAAAGGTATTTTTAGGATTTTTTCTTCCTGATCTTTTTAAATCCAAATCGATTAAGTTAAATTGTTTTTAGGAAGTCTAGAAATATATTCCTGTTGTCGATGTGATATTTTTAAAATAATCAAAGTACATATCTTTAAGAAACAAATTAAACGGAATGATTCTCGTGAGAGAGGTATTAAACTCGCCTTTTCAATTGGCAGTATTGGTATCTCTACGTGCGGCAATTAATAAGACCGTAAATTCTGTAAAACGAAGCAATAACGAAACAGGAACGCGAAATGGTTTCGCCAGATCCCGATGCATCAGTATATCGATTTCAGAATCGCAGATAGAAATTAGCCGGGGATCGTTCCGAGCGAGCGTCAGCTCGTTCGCGCAGCACAAAATAAAGTCTCGCTGAGCGACGTTTTGCGCCTTTCTTGCCACAGCTCACACGCGATTATCGAACGTTTCGGCTGGCATCAGCCTCAAGTCCGCGGAAACGACGAACGCGACGACGAATAATACGATTAAGCGAATAACGGGAGCGTAACGTAGCGTATAACACACCTTTCTTAGCGTACGAGAGAAATTGTATTTTTGCGAGGGGTATTTACGTCCATTTACTAATAAAGCAACTCTAACGCGTAGGCGTAGATACCTTGGACCCCACGGAGAGAGACAAAATTGTAAAATGTGAGGTGCGAGCGGGCCTAAGCGGGAGCTTGTACGCGCCTAAAGGGACGGGAAGGAGCGGGAATTGGAACGGGAAAAGCGCGTATCGACGAACAATTCGTTTTTTATATTCACGTTTAAATTATTTTTTTACGATAGCGCCCGTGGATCGGGAACCGCGGGAACTTTTGTAAATTGTCTGACGTTTCACAGAGCTAGATGTGTCGCTGTTGCATAAAGGCGCCACATAAAGGTGCATTTTTAAAGATTTTCGAGCAAGTTTTTATACTGTATTTTCGTCGCTGAACGAACGTTTTAATGCACGCGGTAGATGTGGAGGAGCAAAATAAATCCCTGGAGGAGCACGTATTATCATACGTGCCTGCTTACCGCGATAGTTTTCGTCTGGTTTTTGCGGATCTCCTCGCGTTTTGTTTGTGCCGTACTGCGATTTCGTTGTGACTAGTGACAAATTAAAAAAAAAAGCGGTGATCGCGCGACAAGATCGAGCAGTATTAATTTAAGCGTTGCACTCATTACACTCGTGTTGCAATATAAAGGAACAATCTATATTTTCATACTTCACACGCACGGCCTTGCAACGAAAATTGAATCAGTATTATCCGAGAGTATTTATCGCGAAAGTATTTTTTATACGGAACTCTGCCATATTTTTGTGCATTTATCGCCAAACTACGGCTCTTGTAATTCCGAGTCTTGACCGTCTAACGTAATGAGAAGCTGCTTCGCGAGATATTTTTGGAATTCCATTTGCGACGAGGATTAAACGACGCTCACTGCCTCTCAATCTTGTCGCGACGATCTTTTCGTATCGCGACTTTTAATACTCCGCTTTTGAGCTTGTGCTCGGGGGTGGATCGTGTCGCGCGAGTCGCTATTCGAAGATCAATGATAAATTAGAAGAGATCGTGGTGAGATAATTGTAAAAACTAGGCGCGCTCTTCGTATTCTTCTTTTGTTACCGACGTCGCGATAGTTAATCTTTTACCGCTAATTTTATGTTTTATTTAAATCATTAATTAAGTCGATCACGTCTTCTGTTAATTAAGTCGATCGTCCTGCTTTCCCTTCCAACGTAGCGGGAGGCGATCCTGATGTTGCTGCCAATAGAGGATTATTTATTATATGTAGTGCAATACTCGATCGTGCGATCGTCCTCCGCGTAGCGAGACCCACACTCGCCTTTTCTCGTCCTCGAGGAAAAGAGAACCGTGCGTTGCACAAATGAGAGTGCCCAAGAGATATAGGTGTTACAACTTTCGACACGTTGCCTCGAAGTATTATGTAATAAAGCGTACAACTCTTTCGTTAATTTTACGCCTGTCTTTTTCTTTTTTTTTTCTTTTGTACAGCGCGTCGCTACCACATATCTCCGCAACCATGTTCTGCCCCGGCCTTTTTCGCGTTGGAAAAGAATTTCCATTGTGAATCAACGAATACGCAAATCGCCGTGTTAAGGAGAACAGAATCGTTTCGATTTATTCGCGAACGCTAGAATACATTAGAGAAATACTGCTAGGCAAGAAGCAGGAGTCAAGGGAAACGGAGAAAATTCGGATAAAGTGAACGAAGCCACTGAGGCCTGGAAGAAAATCCAATAGTTTTCAGCGGAACGAAAAAATTTGACGACAGCCGCGCGAAAGGAGATTTGTTTTCTATTTTTATATACGGGTAAACTATCGTTATATTCATCCTCTCGATACTCTCGCATTATCCTCGAGTCGCGGGATACGGTATCACACTTTGCACACGCTTGAAGCCATCTAATAGCACTCTTAGCACAGATAGACTTTCGCGAATTGCAGTCTGCCAAGCGTTTTTGCGGAATGGCGTGGAATGAGGAGCTCAAGCCTCTAACCGGACGGTCTAATCGCCTTCGAATCGGGGGTAAGAAAATTACGAGGATACTCGTGGTCTGTTCCGTCCAACTTATTTTTGTAAGGAAGTGAGAAAGTGAGAGGGAGAGTGAGAAAAAATATGAGAGAGAGAGAGAAAGAGAATGCATGCATGAGTCCTTCGAATGCTCCTGTAACTTATCGTCCCGTAACTTATTGCTCCGATTTTAGCTTAAGCTTACGCTCATACGTTGCGTGATATCGATCATGATTCACGATCTCGAGCGAGGTTCGTCGTCTCGAGCGTGTAACTTCGCTCCGAGTTGCGCCGTGCAATCGTTTATCATTCGAACGTGGAGTTTGCGTCTCGCAAATCCCGATCATCGAACCGTCTTACATGTTATTTTTACTAGATAACAAATTTTATTACTGTTTTACTGATACACATTAGTCTACTGCGCGTTATCGCTGTTTTATTTTAACATTCTCGATTTTTATTTGCGCCGACTGTGTTATTTACACGGGAGTATAATAATAAATTGTGTTTATTTATTCTACCCCCTTGTCTTTTCCTTTTGCATTTCCTCCGTCATCTTAGACGCGATGGGCGTACGTGACGCATTATATAATTCGGAATGTCGAACGCGAATTGGCGGAATGTAATAACGTTGATTGGTATCGTATCCGCGAGGTATGAGCGTCTGCTGTTGAAGACATTACAGATATACCTCTGTCTGTTTCACGAAAAAAAGCTGGCATATATCATAATGCAATTTTCAATTGTAAATATATATTAAGGATTATATGTTATATAATTCTTAATATAAATATAATTTTCGGATCGCGACTTTAAGCGATGGACGAGTACTTTTGATATCGACATTGTAAATATACTTCATTCTATCGCGATTCTACTTTGTATTCGTGCAAGACTCCAATATTATTGCAATATCATTGCGATATTTATAATCACGTTTGTCGTCTACGTCGTTTACGTAAATAGCAAAATGTGGGCTCTTCGTTTTCATGTCGCAGAGACAAATTTAGCGATTAATTCTTTCCTGTTCCAATTGGTAGAAGTAAGTCCCCTATTATGCGATAGGCTCCTAATATGAGATAGCGGAGTTTCCTCTAAATTAATAGGCGTCTGTTGGCTCCACCATGAATTTATTGCCCTTGGAGTGAAATCGGTTTGGTGGAGAATTGATTGTTAGAACGTGTAATCGTAGCGAAAGAAGATTGGTGATTGAATTTCGACGTTGAAAACCTACTATCTCATATTAGAATCCTACCTCGTGATAGAGGACTTTCCTCTATTAACGGAATGTAGCTCCGCTCGAAAAGCTGGAACGAATATTCCGGGACTGTATATATTTTGTAAATTGGAACACGCGAGAAGAGGAACCACGAAAGGGAGTCCCTCGATCCGCTTCGCTGTACATTGTCTGCCGGTTTTCATTTCGTTCAGCGAGATTCGCTTCGATGTTGAGGACATACGTTGTACATAACGAAACTCCGTTTGCGATCTAACTGATCTGAGCTCGTCATTAATTATCTAATTATGCGACTGACAAACAGGAGGATCGTTCAGGAAGGAATGACTTGTCGAACCTCGCACACACTGCCTTAACAATTTTATATATAGAGAAAAGTTCGTATTATGAGATACGCTCCTAATATAAGATAACGGAGTTTCTGCTAAATTAATAGGTGTCATCCGTTGATTCCACCATGAATTTGTTGCTCTTGGTGTGAAATCTCTTGTTCAGTGGAAAATTCATTGTTAGATCGCGTAGTCGTTGCGAAGAAAAGATTTGTGATTGAATTTGAACGTTGAAAACCTACTATCTCATACTAGAATCCCATCTCACAATAGAGGACTTTCCTCTACGACAATATATATCCAGAGATTCCTTCTTTTTGACATGTGCCGATTTGCGTTGTGCGCGTGTTAATCGATTCTAGCCGTTAAGTCATCCTGTTCGCAGCCGTAATTGCGCGCTAATTGCAATAATAATACTCTTTGACAAAAATTCGTGTCGTCTATCTTGCTGCCCTTCTTTCTAGAATCTTTTTTTCACTGAAAGTGTGAACGTTTCCTTTTCATGGAAAGCGTGAGCGTTTCCTTTTCGACAATTTTGCCGATGGCGCTTTTCGGATCACCGTGGTTATCTGTCGGCGAGATTTTTTGCGGCTCGAAGAAGTCGATAATCCGATCTCATCCATCAACGCCACGTTCTTTTTATCACGTTCGTTTATCCCGTGAAAAAAAGTCGCGAGACTATCTGTATTTGCATCGGCGCTCTGCGCCACCCTTTAAAGCCCGATTTTTGTCAATCAATCTTGTTGCTCCTCGCAATCGCGCGTGTGGCAATTCCCTAGCGGAAGAAATTTCTATAAATAACTACAAAAATTGACTTGAAATAGAAATTTTTATAGTTTCGTCGAAACATTAATTTTTTGGTACAAATATCTACGAAATAGTACGACAAATTACGATGTTCTCAAATCAAGAAATTATTGCAAGTAGTATTTCAAGAAAATGTACAATTTTGTAAAAATTAGCACAAAACTTTACTAATTTTAACAATTTGAGAAACAACAAAATCTTAAAGAATGAAAACACCTGCTTACTTGTAAGAAATTACAAAAATAGGCAAGAGTGTTCCAATTCTAGCATTTGCATGTTGATTTTTATAACACTTTTTAAATTTACGTAGAAGTTTTTAGATTCTGGCAGTTATATTTTGTAGAATTATTTCCGGCAGGGACGAACTCGAAATACTGTCTGCGTTGTGACAGAAGAGAAGTTTCAAAATAACTTGGATAATTTTATTACTACAATTTAGTTCCAAGGATCAAACTTAATTTAAAATATTCTAAAAATTCCACTACGACTCTTACACACGTGTCCTAATTTTATATTTCACGCCGTGTACAACGTTACAAAAAAGTGACGTGATTCTTTTTACGAATCAATTCCCGCAGCAAGGATCAGACAACGTGATATCGCGGAGTCGGATATCTCGATGAAGGGTTGCCGGTCGGCGCGGACACCCCGACGGGCAAGGGCTCGTATAATCCCATGAATACATAATCCAGATGCAAACAGCCGCCACGCGTGCCTCGATTTAAACGGTCGCGATATTTCACGGATTATAACGCGAATATTTGCACTATTTTTCACGGTGTCGCCCGAGATCCCGAGTGTCGTTCAAGTAACGGTCTCCGTGTCCTCGTTCGAGATCTCAATCCGTTCGCTCCCACATTATTCCAGAACGTCAAAAACGACGCACAAGTATTATTATAACGGTGTAGCTGTGTTCGGCAAAGCTAGTGTTGCAGTGGGTCTCTATTTTGTATTTCTCAAAACTATCTTGAATTATTATATATTTAGAATTTATTATATATATATTTAGTAAATAAAAATCATCAGGATTAAATCGAAAAGCGTATATTCGTAAAAATTAACTCTATCGGGGGGTAATTCAACGTCACACTAGGCGTTCTTAGTTCTCTGCGAGAATTTTGCGATGTTTTTGAATGAAGAAAGTTGCAGAGTAAATTTTTCTGTCTCACAAACCTACCGGAAATAATACTACAAAATTATAAAATACAACTGCCAGAATCTAAGGAATTCTACGTAAATGTAAATAGTGTTATAAAAATCAACATGCAAATGCTGGAATTGCAACACTTTTGTCAATTTTTGTAATATTCTACAAGTAAGCAAATGTTTTAATTCTTTAAGATTTAATTCTACAAAATTATAAAATACAACTGCCAGAATCTAAGGAATTCTACGTAAATGTAAAAGTGTTATAAAAATCAACATGCAAATGCTAGAATTGGAACACTTTTGTGAATTTTTGTAATATTCTACAAGTAAGCAGATATTTTGATTCTTTAAGATTTTATTTCTGAAATTTTTTAAACTGGTGAAGTTTTGTACTAATTTTTACAAAATTGTACATTTTCATGAAATACTACTTGCAATAATTTCCCGATTTGAGGGCGATTGTAATTTGTCGTACTATTTCGTAGATATTTTTACAAAAAAATGTTTCAACGAAGATATAAAAATTTCTACAAATTTCTATTTCGGGTCAATTTTTGTAGTTATTTATAGAAATTCTTTCCGCTAGGGGTGTGTGTATATACCATGCGTTAACAGGATTAAGAGAGCTCCTGGTAGTTTCCGCGATCCTTCGCGTAATTATCATCCCCACGAGAAATTGCGTAAGAGACAACCCCGCGACTTGCGTCAGGTGCATCGGCCGGTGTCCTCCCACGCCGGGCGGTACCGATTGTTGTGACGGTGATGAGTTTAAGTCCTCTTCTTGTCGTCACCTCGAGCGTCGAAAATGCTGTTTTCTCACAATACGCCGGCAACAATACGCCGTTACGGAGAAGAGGAGGAGGAGGAGGAGGTGGAGGAGGCGACCGAACTGACGTAAGCGGATTATCCCAGCCCGTCGGAGAGCGATACCGATACTTGGCAGATCCACTCACACACACGCGCGCGCGCGCACGCACAGGGAGCACAGCTTCCGCGGTCCACGCATTGTCGGCCCTCTCCCGTTGAAAGCGGCCCTTCTGCCGGCCTTTGATTCCTTTTCTTCGTCGACGAGAAAACGCGGCAGGCCCTCCACCCCTCACACAGTCAGCTCTTCATCGCGTTCCCGGGTGCATCGCGCGTAATGGCTATCTGGTCGAGATCTTCTCCCCCGAGGGGAACCCGCCTCCCTTGTTCGCCGGCAGGAATGCGGCGAACGTGGACGAGGTATATGCGCACCTCATTTTTTCGTACGGATAATTTCACGCTTTCCCACAGGCGAGCTCGCTGGAAATTCCGCGACTTCTTACGGCGATTGTCACGTGCTCGTTGCCGCTGCAGATGCGCGAGGGTTTAACGTACAGCAGTATGTCCCGAATAATATAGAAATAGGAATGGCATCGAAACAGAAGGCACGATACGTTTCGGACAGCTTTTTCTAAATAATTTCGCGCGAACTCGCAACGAATTACTTTCCGCGGATCTCTACTTTCTCATACTGTCCTTAAATTTCGTGCGTACTCTGCGATTCGATGCATTACTTCGCTCGTTGATCCCGCAGCGATTTCTTCGCAATTTATATTAATTTTGCAGTTTCCAGTACTTTCGAGGGACCTGACGGGCCCCGTCCCCGAAGGGAATCTCCACCACCGTCGAAATTTCGGCGAACGCGATCCTGTGGGCCCCGGCGAGGGTATCTCTCTCTTTCTCTCTCGTCAGGACCGGGCGTGCACGCGATGCGCGCGGTGCACGCGATCCGCGTTTACGGCGACGATCGGTAGCGTTTGTCATGTAAATAATAATATTCGCAGAGCGAGACACTAGGAGCGAAAAGGGATCTCAAGCAGCGCGGTGGGGGGAGAGGGAAGAAGGGAGTCGAAGGGCGCCAAAGTAAAAAGGCAGGAACGGGCGTAAATAGGGAACGCGAGGGACAAAGAGTCTCGCGTAACAAGAAGAAAGGGAGGAAGAAAGGGGAGGGAGCGCGAAGGGTGGCACCATTGT